TGCCAATGCAGGGGACACGGGTTCGAGCCCTGGTCTGGGAAGATCCCACATGCCATGGAGCAACTAAGCCCGTGTGCCACAACTACTGAAGCCCACGTGCCTAGAGCCCATGCTCCAGAACAACAGAAGCCACCGCAATGAGAAGCTCACATACCACAACGAAGGGTAGCCCCCGCTCGCTGCAACTAGAGAAAGCCTGCGCACAGCAACAAAGACCCAATGCAGCCAAAAATAAATAAATAAATAAATAAATAAATAAATAAATAAATATTCTCTTTAAAAAAAGGAGGAGGAGGAATTCAAACATTCCCAGAAAAATAAAAGCTGAGAAAATGTATCACTTGCAGAATTGCTGTACAAGAAATACTGAAGGAAAATTTTCAGGCCGAAAAAATGGGAAACTAGACAATAACTTGAGTCCACATAACGAAATACGGACAACCAGTAAATATATAAGACAATTAGGTAAATATAAAAGACAAATGCATTTTTGTAATTTTCCTTTTCACCTGTCTGATTTACAAGATAGCTAATAAGGCAATAATTATGAATCTGTGTCAATGGCCACAAAATGTATAAACACGTAATTAGAATTACAATAACAGCACAAAGGACAGGAGAAGACATGGGGCTATACAGGAGCAAAGTTTTTGTATACCATAGAAATTAAGTTGGTATTAGTTGATCTAGATTGTTACAAGTTAAGGTGCTAATTGTAATTCCCAAGACAACTACTAAGAAAATAACTAAACTATATAGTGAAAGAAGAAAGAAGTGCATTAAAATGGTAGGGTAGAAAATATCTATTTCACATAATAGAAGGCATTGATAGAAGACCAGAGGAACAAAAAGGATATAAGACATATAGGAAACAAACAGCAACATGGCCACTGTGCTATTACACTTTGTGGATGGATTAAACACTCCAATTAAAAGGCAGAGACTGTTACAGCCCAGACCTACTCTACTCCACCTCTTTGCATGACAGACATTTAACAGAATAAAGTCAACATATACACACTACTGTGTATAAAATAGATAATCAACAAGGACCTACTGTATAGCACAGGGAACTCTACTCAATACTCTGTAATAACCTATATGGGAAAAAAAACTGAAAAAGAATAGATATACATACATGTATAACTGGATCACTTTGCTGTACACCTGAAACTAACATAACACTGTAAATCAACTATACTCCAATACAAAATAAAGATTTTTAAAAAGGGCAGAGACTGTGAGAATGGATTAAAACACCATGATCCAACCATATGCTGTCTACAAAAGACAATTTAGATTCAAAACCACTCACAGACCTAGTTTAGGCTGAACTAAAAGGATTGAAAAAGTATACCATGGGAACAGTAACCAAAAGAGAGCTAGAGGGGCTATACTAATATCAAACAAAATAGACAAAGATAAAAATTGTTACTATGGACAAGATAGGACATTTTTCATGATAAGAGAGTTCAATCCATCAAGAAAAAATAACAATTATCAGACAAAATAGACAAAGATAAAAACTGTTACTATGGACAAAATAGGACATTTTTAATGATAAAAGAGTTCAATCCATTAAGAAGAAATAACAATTAATAACATACATGCACGTAACAACAGAGTCCTAAAAACTTACAGAATTGAAGGGAGAAACTGATAATTCAACAGCAACAGTTGGAGACCACAATACCTAACTTTCAATAATGGACAGAGAAACTAGACAGAAAATCAACAAGTAAATGGAAGGCTTGAAGAACACTGCAAACTAGACCAAAGAGACATCTGTAAGGCTTCCCTGGTGGCGCAGTAGTTGAGAGTCCACCTGCCGAGGCAGGGGACATGGGTTCGTGCCCCGGTCCGGGAAGATCCCACGTGCCGCGGAGCGGCTGGGCCCATGAGCCATGGCCGCTGAGCCTGCGCGTCCGGAGCCTGTGCTCCGCAACGGGAGAGGCCGCAACAGGGAGAGGCCCGCGTACCGCAAAAAAAAAAAAAGACCCTACAAAAGACATCTGTAGAACATTCCTCCCAACAGCAGAAGGATATTTGTTCTTCTCAAGTGCACATGGAACATTCTCTAGGAAAGACCATCTTAAAGACCATGGTAAAATAAGTCTTGATAAATTCAAAAGGATTTGAATCATGTAACGTTGTTCTCTGACCAAAATGGAATACAATTAGAAATAAACAACAAAAAGAAATTTGGGAAATCCACAGATATGTGGACATTAAACAGCACACTCCTAAATAGTCAGTGGGCCAAAGAAGAAACAGCAAAGGCAAATTGTAAAATACCTTGAGATTATTGATAATAAAAACACAATATACCAGAACTTATGGGATGCAGTGATAGCAGTGCTTAGAGCAAAATTTATAGCTGTGAATGCCTACATGAAGAAATAAGAAAGATCTCAAGTTCACAACCTAACTTTACACATTAAGGAAAAAGAAAATGAAGAACGAATTAAATTACAGCAAAAGCAGAAGAAAAAATGACAAAAATGAAAGAGTAAATAAGTGAAATAAAGAGTGGAATAAGAGAAAAATCAGTGAAACCAAAATTGGTTCTTTGAAAATAGTAACAAAATTGACAAACCTCCAAGTAGAATAAAAAGAGAGAAGACTCAAATTACTAATGTCAGGAGTGAAAGAGGGGACATTACCAACAACCTTCAGAAATAATTATGATTATAAGGGAATAATGTGGGCAATTATATGCTAACGAATTAGATAACCTAGATGAAATGGAGAAATTCTTTGAAAGATATAAACCCTTAGAGATTCCTAGAAAGACTCAAGAAGAAAGGAAAAATTTGAATAGGTCTCTAACATGTAAAGAGATTGGATTAATAATAAAACATTTTCCATGAAGAAAAGCCCAGCACCAGAAGACTTCATTGGCAAACTCTACCAAATGCCTAAAGAAGAATTAATGCTAATCCTTCACAACCTATTCCAAAAATTAGAAAAGGATTCATCCTAGGAGACCAGCATCGCCCTGATGCCAAAACCAGACAAAGGCATCACAGGAAAACTACAGGCCGACATCTTATATGATATAGAGGCAAAAAATTTCAACAAAATACTAGAAAACCAAATCTAGTAGCACACTAAAAGGATTATACACCACAAACTAGTGGGATGTATTCCAGGAATGCAAGATTGATTCAACATAGAAAGATCAATCATGGTAATACACCATATTAATAGAATAAAAATTAAAACCACATGATCATTTCAATATATGCAGAAAAGTTGCTTGACGAAATCCACCGTCCCTTCATAATATAAACATTCAGCAAACTAGGGATGGAAGGGAACTTTTTCAACCTGGTAAACCAAAAACATAGCAGCAACAACAAAAATAGGTAAAATGGACTTTATCAAAACTAAAAACTTACAAATTCAGGTGAATATTAGAAAGAGAGTATCAAGGGGAAATGTAAGCCGCTCCGTGGCATGTGGGATCTTCCCGGACTGGGGCACGAACCCGTGTCCCCTGCATCGGCAAGTGGACTCTCAACCACTGCGCCACCAGGGAAGCCCGAAAATATTTATTTTAAAATCAATTAATGGTGCTTATACGGGTGTTCCTCTCTTAATCTGTTAACAAATTTATTATATATTGTCTAATGTGGAAACATCCTTGATTTTCTGGCTTAAATCACTAGGTACTGAATACATTGCTGGATTCGACCTGTTAATCAATTATTTGGATATTTGTATCTTTATTCCAAAAAGTGATGGCTCTGCTCTTTTTTGTCTCCTGCATCATCCCATGCAGCTTTGTCAGAGGACAGTCCAGACTCCCCATCTCTCTGTGCCCTGGAACAGACTGTATGAGCCAGGATCCATCTGACAGTGGTTTGCTCGTTCTCATTCATAGACTGAGAAGATCTGGAACTGGAACCGTTCTTTATTTTCTAGAGTTATTGTTCTTTCAAAGTTTTCTTTTTTAGCCAATATTGGTATTTAATATTTTTCTAGAAATGTATCCACCTTACCTATATTTTCAAAACTTTCATATTATACATAAATTGTTATTATATGTAACTACACATACAGCAATATGTGTGTATATCATGTTATACGTAAACTGTTCTTATAATTTAAAAGTCCCCGTTTCTGTTGCCGTATACCCCCTTTCCATTTGTGATGCTCAAAAGTGGTTGCAAAGCAAGTGTCCTCCAAGGGGGAACCTCTTTTGTCCAGCTCCTCCATCCAGGGGAAATCTCTCTATTGCATTTTAGCACAGAAAAGGTCAATGCATTTTTGGCATATGAAGTTTGATATCAGCAGTCTTACTAGTAGCAATTACCTTTATGTTCCTGAAAGCTGGTCATGAGGGTCATGGGGCTGCATTTGTAAAAGAGGCAGAATTTGATCTGCAAGCAACTAAATTAAGTTTTTATATCAATATTTATTAGACTAAGGGACAGCAGTTTTCCATTTCCTGTCCCTTGTGGAGTTTGGGTGTTGGCTGAAGATGCAAAGTTAACTGGCAGAGGCCTCTGCCGCGCCCCTACCTAGTTTCCAAAAGTTTAAAAGAGCCGTGATGACGCGTGCAGGGCCCCCAGGTGTCATGAGGCCTGTGATGCAGACACCTTAGATCCCGGCCCTGTGTCACCGCCTGAGCGGCCCGGGTCCCCAGCCCACGCGTATCGGCCAGGAAAGAGTCAGACGGGAGTGTGCACTGGTTTATGGCTTTATTGCTGAAGGAGGAACGCCCCCGCGCAGGAGACCCCAGGCGGGGCCCGGAGGGGCCTGAGTCCCAAGAGGGGTGGCCTTGGTCCTGGTGCCTCCTGACCCTGCTGATGGGGGAGGCGGGGGTGACATCATCTGTCCCCAGAGAGGCCAAGGCTCCCGGGCCCTGAAATGGACACGGGGCTCTCCTGTGATTCCTGGGGAACCTGCTGGACCCTCGCCAGCCCCCCTCCCCGGGCTGGGCCTGGGGGTGCAGGACGGCCCCTCCTCGGGAGAGGGACCCGCCGCCTCCCCCCTCAGGTGGAGTGTCTGTCACCGGTGCCCGCTTCTGGGGCCTCCACCTTGGCCCCCGGCCCTGCCCAGAGGGAGCAGGGGGAGGTCAGCATGCCAGTGAGGCCAAGACACAGGAAACGACCTTCCCAAAGGCCACCCCTCAAGAGTGGGCACGCGGCCAGCGGCTCTGCAGTCACCAGGAGAGACCCCAGCTTCCAGCCATTCCCGCAGGGGGACCCCAGGGCCTGATGGGGGAGCCCGGGCTCCACCAAAACCCCCACCCTTTGCACGTGCCCAGGATGTGGGGCAGGGGAGTTACGTTACCCCCAGGGCGCCGGCAGGAGCTCACCTAGACGCGGCACTGCTCTGTGGGGGAGGGAGAGCCGTGCGGGAGGGTCAGGACGGGACTGGACGCCCCGGGGACGGAGGGGCCCACCTCGGGGGCGCTGCACCTCCACCCCCTCCCTCCCGGGAGCCCTGGGGAGAATTGCGGCTCCCCACGGGAGGAAGGAAGTCGTCCCGGGGCTGGTGGCTTTCAGCCCGGGGAGCCGGGGAGGGGCCTGCGAGCTCACCTTCCAGCTGGGTGGGGCTGAAGGAGAGCCGGATGTGCATGGGCAGGGGCTTGATGGCGCTGTTGAATTTCTCCATGACCCCGTCGTCCACTTGCGGGGTCCTGGCTGTGGGGGAGGGGTCAGTCCCTGGGGGCACCCCCGCCCACCCCCAGAGCTCGGGGGCACCGAAGGCCCTGCCCCACCCCCGCAGGGTGGTCTGCAGGGCTCAGCGTCCCTGCCCTCCGCGGACGCTGCCTTCCCCGCTCGGCCCGTTGCCCTCGTGTGCACTGCAGTGGGGGGTCTGCACGGCACCCCGCTCTGGACGTCTGGGTCTCCTCCTGGCCTCCCCGCCCCACCCCGGGGCTGGCTGACTTATGACCAGGAGCCTGCACTGCCTGATGCCCACGGCCACTTCCCTGGGAACACACAGTGGCACATCTTCTGTGACAATAAAGACGTCACCTGACATTTGTTTTCAGGACGTTATAGTTGAAAGATGTCTCTGTAACTGAATTCTTATTTGGTAGAGTAATGGAAATTCCCGGGGAACAAAGGCTGTTGGATTCACAGTGACCCGCCGGCTCCATCGCGATGGTCACACCAGTCACAGCGCTTGCAGTCAGCCTGCCCCTCAGCCCGCGGTCTGTCCCTCGTCCCCAGCCACCCACAGGCCCACAGGACACCAGGCCCCAGGATGCGACCCTCTCCCGATGGCCCCGCACCCCTCCTCCTTTTCCTCAGGCGTCAGGCTCCCCCGTTCCCACGCGCTCTCCGCAGTGAAGACCACACCACGGGTCTCCCTGGGAAGCAGGGCTCGGGCACGCACCCAGGCACTGGCAGGCCAGGCTGTGCTCGGGGTCGGCCGTGTTTTCCACGCAGAAGAGCAGGTAGTTTGTGTAGTTGGTGTCCAGCACGAAGATCTTATTCTCAGCCGGGGCTGGAAGGGAGACCAAGACAGGGCAGAAGTAAGTTCCAGCGGGGGGAGTGCTGGCCAGCTCTTCCGGTCACCACCTGGCAAGGACTGGGCCGGGAGTGCTTCCTGCACCGCGCCCCCCCCCCACCCCCGCCCCGCACTCCAACGTGCTGCAGCCCCTCCCCCAAAGCCGTCCCCAGGCACATCAACTATGGATGCGCCAGAGACATTCCACCACCTCCTGGACTCAGAAGCACACACCACTCAATCCAAGATGCCCCCCGGGACCCAGAGTGATCAAGAAATGGTACATATATACAATGGAATATTACTCAGCCATAAAAAGAAACGAAATTGAGCTATTTGTAGGGAGGTGGATGGACCTAGAGTCTGTCATACAGAGTGAATTAAGTCAGAAAGAGAAAGACAAATACCGTATGCTAACACATATATATGGAGTTTAAGAAAAAAAAAATGTCATGAAGAACCTAGGGGTAAGACAGGAATAAAGACACAGACCTACTAGAGAATGGACTTGAGGATATGGGGAGGGGGAAGGGTGAGCTGTGTTAGGGCGAGAGAGAGACATGGACATATATATACTAACAAACGTAAGGTAGATAGCCAGTGGGAAGCAGC